AATAATAATAATAATAATAATAATATTAATATTAATAATAATAATAATGATAATATTGATAACAAGTGTTAAAAAAAAAAAAAAAACGTAGAAAAAAAAGTAATTCGCGAAACCAAACAAAAAAAAATCTGTATTCAGAAATAACTCAAACAAAGATAAATACATGGACTTTTTTTTCTTGCTTTTCTTTTCCCATATATATATGTACGTATACGTTTCTCTGTGTATTTGTGTATATGTATAATCATGTACCCGAAAAGAAAGAGAGACAAAAAAGCGGATGGAAAGAACAATTGGTCCTCGTGGGGACCATTTCGGCCGTCAAACCCACACCGCTGCTCTCCTTCTCAGCCATCCAATGATAGTTTCTTCTTCTTAATAATAATAACAATAATAATAATAATAATAATAATAATAATAAAGATATCATGGATTGGCAGATAGCATGAACACATATTATGCCGCATGTGTATTATGTCAAGAAGGAGGGCACTGCACAAATATGCAAGGAAAATCAAAAGGGATTCAAAAGAGATAGTGAAAATTAAAATTAAATAAATAAATCAAAAAAAAAAAGAAATGACAAGAAGCATACAGCTTACTAATACTTCAACTCATGCAAAGGTCTTGCAACTTTCGATCAACTCGAAAGATTTGCCTTCAGTCATCATTCCTTTCTTTTTTGTTTTTGCTTTTCCTGCATACATTCCTTCAGAAAAAAAAAAAAAAAGATACCACATTTGAAATCTTGACATACGTAGACATACATGCATAGTTAAATACACACACTTATGCACAGATATATGTATACAAATACAAGCACAGAGAAAAAAAGCAAGAAAACGAAAAACAAAAAGAAAACAAAAAAGCAACAAAACTAACATCTTTTTCTCGTACAAAACCACAATAAGGAAAAAAAAGGGATTCTTAAAAGCATGGTAGGTACAAAATCTTTTAGAATGGGGGAAAAAAAAATTAAGATGGGTTTGTTTGGGAGCAAGAGTGATGAATACATTTCCAAAAAATTAGGCAAACAACTGGTTCTTGAGCAATATATTCTCGGGTTGACACCAACACATACAACAAAAACAAAAAAAAAAAAAATTACAACATGAAAACGATTCTGTTGAACTATTCTAATGAACGTTTCCACTCTGACAACAAATTTTGCAATGAAGAAAATATTTTTTTTCTTTTTCCTTCATCCTTTAAGTCTTTCTTTCTTTCTTCGTTTCTTTTTTTTTTTTTTTTTTTT